GGATTACAACAGACCAATATTGTTCAGCTAGGGGCCAAGGTAAGAATTGAGGTGGCTTAAAATCATAGGTCACATATGTCTTTTTCAGTGTTCAGGTCCAGCCCCCCTTCCTCCCCCCCCCCCCCCCCCCCCCCCCGGGGGTAGGGTTTGAACTGAAGGCCTGAGTGTAGTCCCTGACCTTTTTTTGCTAGGATTCTACCACTTAAGCTTGCTCCACTTCTGGCCCTTTAGGGGATACTTAATTGGAGATGAGTCTTGTGGACTTTCTTGGCCAGGCTGGCTTTGAACTGTGATCCTCAGATTTCAGCCTGAGTTGGCCCAAGATGGTAGTTGTACTTTCTGAACTGCCAGCCCCACATCTCTCTTCAGGGCCCAACACATGCTTTGTTTCTGTATTTCCTTTGTTTCTTTCTCCCACCCTTAAACACTGTACCCTCAGGACAGAGGCCAGTACCAAACCAACACTGTCACACCCATGAACCACTTAAACCAGTAATAAGGGGCAAAAAGATAACCTTCCACACATGCCACCTTTTTATTCATCTCTTTATTCTACCCGGCCCTGAAAGTGAGCAGAGCAGGGCTGAGTGTTTACTTAAGGACACCAAAACCCAAGTGTAGAGGAAACCGGAGCAAATGGCACCTGTTTAGGATTTTGAAATAGGGCAAATACATCAATTATTTAAATACGACAAAATAAAAACATTGAATTTTGTGTGAGAATGTTGTGACTAACAGCGCTCCGTCAACTTTAGTTTTTTCTTACTCTGTGAGCTTGATGCATTTATATGACCAAAGGCGACAAAAACCAGGTCCAAATGTTGCCACCTAGAGATACTTTATTACCATGACTCAGAAGAAAATGGCAAAGTATATAAACTCCCACAAAGGCTTCCCCAAACGTTGCTATTCCAGCATTTGTTAGATATCACCAGCATTAGATGAACCACTGACTATAAATTTTATTCTGCTGCCACTTTTCTTTTGATTGAAAAGTTCAGGTCCTGATCAAGGTTCCAAATTCTGGCAGAGTTCTCTAAACTATTCAAATAAACAAAAAGCTACTTTTCCTCTAAGATTTCATTATTTAGTGAAAGAGGCCTTTCTAGAAATGTCAATGAAGATTTTAAATATTATTTAAGTCATTTATTGGCCAGGCACTGATGACTCACACCTTATAATCCTAGCAGCTCACATCCAGAGACCTAAGGATCAAGGTTTGGAGCCAGCCTAGGCAGACAAATCCTCGACTTATCTCCAATTAACTAGCAAAAAGCTGCAAGCAGAGGCGTGGCTCAAATGGTACAGTGCCAGCTGAGAGCACAAGGCCCTGAGTTCAAGCCCCAGTACTGGCACATGAGCATGCACGTACACGTGCACATAACACACACACACACACACACACACACACACACACACACACACACACACAAATCATTTACTGAATATCTAACATCTGGATTGGTTAAAATGAAAAATCCAGTTTTTAACAGCAATAAATTAATTCTGTGGTTATACAAAGACAAGCAAGTTTCTTTATTTGGTCTAATTTATTCTAAAAAAAAAAAAGCTGGGAACTGACAAAACGGGACAGATATCTTCTAGTCTACAAATAAAACAAGACAATGCCTGAGTTCACTCTCTATATAGATCTCTAGGCTTATCATGTTGGCCTGGCTGTAATAATCTCTATTTGACTAAAAGTTAATAAAAATACATATGCTCATTTTAAAATAATTACTGATTTTCCTTGCATAACTCACTCTTTACCCTACACTGATACACCTTTAGATTTTCCTGCATTGATCACAGCTAAGCTTCCTCCTGCCCTTCCGCATCAGTGTGTTCAACCAAGAACCTGCTTTTTGGACAGCATCTCCAAATCCAGCATGCTTTGTCCACCCAGACTAGAAACTTGAGGCTGTGGAAGGCTGTTGTCCATCTGAGGTGCAGTAGAAGGAAAATAAGCACTAAACCCAACACATCCCCAAGTTTGCCTTCTCTTCCTTCCTCCCTCAGGCATCTTCTCTTCCCATACACCTGACCTTGTTGGGAAACTGTGACCTTGACTCAGGACCTCAGCAGCTGGCTGGCTCCTCCCCTGGCCCAAAGGAACAGAAAAGCCTAACCGGAAAATGGAATGGAATGCAGGTTTCAGGGCTGCCTCTTTCTCACTGCTTCAAGTGTAGTCTTTTAGTAAATGGAGATAGGAGAATCTCCAAGATTTCAAAAAAGGAGAGAATGGGGGCTTCTAAACTCTGGTGAGACCAGAGTTCAGACGTTTCCTAATATCTACTCTCTCTTTTCTGTTCAGAATTAACAGAGCAAAACACAAGATTAGTGGTGTCCACTAAAGGAACAAAGGCCGATGAGGTGAAAGCAAGTTCTCAGGTTAAGACATTCTGCAATTATGAGATGACCAAAGTATTTCCCAAACTTTCCTTTGACTTGCAGAACTGGAGATGGCTTATCTCCTTGTAGCTTCAAGTTTGCTTTACAGAGCTTTGAAAAGTAAAATCGATCATTTCATTGTCAGCTATAAAAAAAAAAAATTCATCTGAATAGCAAAATAAGTAGGTGCTTTTAGGGGGGGAAAAAAGCCCCTCTCCAACAGTTATGTTTTTTAAAAAATTAAATTCTCCAGTAGTAGTTGAAAGAAAAATCCACCCTGACTTCTAAGAAGCTATTCATACAATTTGCTTTCCTGCTTCTCTATTTCACTTCATCTGTGTTCCTTTATCAGCACCCTCAAGTATTTCTGAGCAGCTGCAAAGAGCAGGATACAGAGATGGCTCCTCTGGCAAGTAGCTGCCGTCTGACTCCCTTCCAATACAGTTGCTCTGACTCACGCATCCACCTCACAAGGATGGCACAATGAGTGTGGGTAAAGAGGTCCCTGTGCCTAAGGAACAGAGATGACCAACTCTACAATTTAAAAAAAATAAAGAAAAATAAACAACTATGAATCTTTGCCACCCCTCCTTCCTCCTGGTCAGCCATCAGGGAAGGGGTGGAGCAGCAAAGCCCCCAGGAGCACAGCTTGAGGGGTACCTCAAAGGCTCCCCAGAGGACCTCTCCAGAGTGCCCCTAAGGGATGTCTCTGGGTTGAAGTCTAGTTCACAGCCCAAGTTTACTAAGCAAGAGGATTTACAACTTGGCAGGAAAGCATGGTGGTAATGGTTGACAGAGTGTGGTTGGTCAGGCTAAGTGGTCCCACAGCTGTTCCAGTACATTTTCTATTTTCCACAGAGCATGTGCAGCAGCTCAGGTCAACGTCCTGGTTTGAAAGAGAAAACTTGAAGAGACTCCAGGTGCTTCCGGAAAAGATTCTACTTCGGTGCCTCAGGAAACTCTCTCGTGAATTTCCCCACCTCTATTCTTGGTTCAGTAAAGCACCAAACTGTGGTGATTGTTTTTATCTCCTCTCCCCTCCTCCTTCCCAGTTCTACTAGATTTTTTTTTTTTGTCTATAATCACATTGATTTCTTCACTCCACAGATTTCATTGGTTGGAATGATGGGTTCGGTCAAATAGATTTAAAATACATTATCTGTTTACAGGGAATATACAGGATGACAGAAGTGGGAAGTACAAAACACACACACAGAGATTATGGTTCATACAAAATATGTATAAGTACTAGACATTTGCAGTCTTAGAAAGAAGTTGTACAATTTTTGCTATTTCTTCAGCATCTCCCTACATTTTCTTCTGTGGATCCTGGATTTGAGTTTGAGCTCCCGTGTATCCCAATGAGAACAGGGACACACCAAAAAATTCATTTTCTGTCCAAAGCATTGAGTGCTAAGCTTGAAAGTTCTCACACATTAACCAGGTTTATTTACAGTGAAAGTTTCTTCTGATGCTGTGGGTCAAGATGTGATTAAAGGCTTTGCCATATTCAAAGAGGTTTCCTTTATGGAATAAATTCTCTAGTGCCTACAAGGCATGGAGCAAATATATCAGTCTTTCCACACATTTGGCAGTTTCACATCTGTGCCTTTAATAGGAAGTGTCTTATATCTATGCTTAGCCTTGCCTGCCAGGCTGGAGTAGAAACATTTACTCCAGGACCTGAAGAATTTGACTTCTCTTCTTTGCAAGGTTAAAGTGTGTATTTATAAACTCTTTAAAAAGTTCCACTAGGTCAACTAGCATACTAATGATTAACTTTAGACTTTTAACAGATGTCAGCCAGTTCTGAACTTCTGAATGAGTATCCTGAGCTAGGTAACATGTTGGCATTTTTGACTGTGACCCAGTGACATTCTGCACTAGGCAATGATAAATGAATGAGCTGCAGATAGTTTGTGACCAGCTGGAGCCTGCTTTCCTCAGAAAACATACTTTCTGCCAAGTGCTGATGGCTCATGCCTACATGAGCCATGACTGAGATCTGAGGACTGTCATTCGAAGCCATCCAGGGCAGGAGTCTGTGAGACTCATCTCCAATTAACCAGTGAAAAAAGCAGGAAGTGGAGCTGTGGCTCAAATGGTAGAGCAATAGCCTTGATCAGAAGAGCTCAGGGAGAGTGCGCAGGCCCTGAGTTCAAGCCCCATGATGGGTACACACACACACACACACACACACACACACCTTCAAACTGCAGCCTCCAGGTTGTGTCTGCAGAATACCTAAAGCAATCCCAGTGACTAGCCAGGTCAGTAAGGTGTCCTGATCAAAGGAGAATCAAATACAATGGCAGGGGCCATATTTCAGTTCAACTAAAACCCACCCCCCAAATGTTGGGTGAATTATGCATATACTTGTGACTTAAAAAAATCCAATATGGAACTGTCCCCAGTCCTTTTCAAGAACAGAGTCAGGGCTGGGAAGGTGGCTCGTGGTAGAGCGCTTGCCTTGCATGCATGAGGCCCTGCGTTCGATTCCTCAGCACCACATAAGCAAAAAGAAAAAAGCCGGAAGTGGCGCTGTGGCTCAAGTAGTAGAGCGCTAGCCTTAAGCTGAAGAACTGAGGGACAGCACCCAGGCCCAGAGTTCAGGCCCCACGACCGGACCCCCCCCCCCCAAAAAAAAGGAACAGAGTCAGTGTTGGGATGGGTTCCTGGAGCTGGCCACCCTGCTTTCAGTCATGTTTTTCTTTTAAACACACCAGCAATCTTATATTCAACCACCACTGTGGCTCACCAAGGGAAATCCTTAATGTATTTCATAGAGACGGTGATTATGTTCTCTTCCGCAATATCTCTTGTTTTTCAGAAGTTGAAACTGGCTGACTCACGATGAAGTTCCCCCAGGCAACAATGAAGAAACTACACAGAAGCTATAAAGTAGCTGTGGTAAGTCCAAGTATGAAAGCCAAAGAGAGGCTAAATATGATGGCTGTGTAGAATTGTGGTTTAGTCTGATGCCACATGGGCCCCCATGTTGTCCTGTGAACTTCTGCTGTTGGTGAGCAAAGGACTGAAGAATGGAGGGAAATCTCATACTGTACGTGGGGGTGAAGGGAGGTGTTTGTGCCAATAGCCTCCAGGTGTGTTTCTAGGTATCTGCAGGGCTGTGACACAACCACCTCAAAGCTATCAGGAACAGAGCCTTCTCTATCGCTGAGCCCTTGACACCTACCTGCAAGGCCTATGACACATAGGTTTCCTGTGTGAGTGATGGTCCCTGACATCTCGTAGGGGGCACCCTGCATCCTCCTGCAGAGAGGATGGGAAAGACTCAAGTTCCCTAAGCTTACCTGTCTTAGAGTGCTATCTGGCCCTGCGCACTGTCACCTGACACAACCAGTCATGTCTCAGTCTGCTGGAGAACTTGCTAAATAAAGCAATGAGGTTCCAGTTATTGATGGCCAATGCCTTTGTAAAGTTTCTGGTGCAGCATGGGAAAATGCTTCTTCCCTAATTTTCATTTTTCTGAAAAGCATTAAAAAAAAAATCACATCTTCTGAAATAAGTTTTAAACAACTCTGAAAAAAGTGCCCAATTCATCGCATTTTTTAGCAGCTAAATGAAGAGAATTCTGGTTAAGATCTTTGCCATGGAGATACCAAAAAATGACCTTAGTCAGTGTTCATATTACTCTTATGATGTCAACATTTCTGACATCCTGTGGTATCCACTCACTGATTCATGTTTAGGGAAAGTCGACACAGGCAGCCAACCACATCTTTTGCATACAGTTAGGACAAAAATAACACACTTCTGGGTTCCAAAGAGCCTCTAAAAGCTGGATCAGCCACTGTATTTCAGGTACTCAGGATTCACGGGGCTTTCTCTTAAGTGTGGAAGTCTTGCTGGGAGTCGAGTCATAAGGAGTGCCTTGTGTTCAGCACTAAGTCCAGTGCTGGGCTGTTTTCTTGACAACCAAAATATTTTGGGGAGTGGGGGGAAGGGAAGGGGTAATGATAAAAACTTCCAATGAAGGATTAAGAGCCAGTGTACAATCAAGTGCTCGCTTGTGGAGAAATGCATTTTGGACATGAGGAAGCGTGTTGAGTCACCGCTGCTGTGTGGGCAGACTGAGGTCCAAGCAGATAGAACCAGCTACACTGCGGCAGTCCTTTGGAACTGTAGATTGGCGCCCATCTCTCTCTTCCCAGAAGAGACAGAAATCTTTGGTTTGATACTCATCGGCACAGTCCTGGATTTCTACAGCTTTGGCAGGCTACCGGCGATCAGATAATGTAACTAGCCTGAGGAGCATGGCCCAATGTAGTTTTTGTTTTGCTTGTCCCTCTCTTTTTGAAGAAGACACAGGGCATTTGCAGCAAATGGCTCCTTGACCTCAGTGTTCCATGGGCAGGGCCAATTCTGATCTGTCAATTATATGTTGTGATTGCTGCCGGGGTCCTTCAAAAGTATCCTTGGTGCTGGAAAACTTGACGTTTTACTGTGTGTGCTTATCTTGTGTGGAAATAGCCCCATGGCCACACTGGAGTATCTTTACAACCAGCTTTTCCTTGCCAGGGTGTGGCTGCTGCCTACACACGCAAAGTAGACACTTCTGATCTTCACTCAAAGGATCCTTCCGTGGGACTTTGAAAACACAACAACAACAACAACAACAATCTGTCTAAGCTGTTTTGTTTTTTTGTTTTCTCTTCCATGGGCACACACCTCTGACATAATTTTAGACATGAAAGGGGGAAAACGGCTTGATGACAGATTCTTGTCTTACACGCAACTTTTGAGGAACGCTCCAAATGCATCCAGGGAGGCAGGACTGTACTCAGAGGCACGCTCCCGTGCATGGATCCTATGATGCAGGGTGAGGGTGGAGCTGCGGGTGAAGGCCTTACCACACTTGGTACATTTGTAGGGCTTTTCTCGGGTGTGAATTCGCCGATGCAAAATCAGGTAGGAGTTTCGGTTGAAGGCTTTGCCGCATTCACTGCACTCGTAGGGTTTCTCGCCCGTGTGGATGCGCTGGTGCTTCGTGAGGTCCGAGCTCTGGCTGAAGGCCTTCCCGCACTCATTGCACTCGTAGGGCTTTTCCCCCGAGTGGATGCGCTGGTGCAGGATGAGGTTGGAGCTGTGACTGAAGGCCTTGCCACACTCGTGACATTCATGGGGCTTCTCTCCTGTGTGGATGCGCTGATGCAGGACAAGGTTCGAGTTGAGACTGAAGGCTTTCCCGCACTCGCCACACTCGTAGGGCTTTTCTCCTGTGTGGATGATTTTGTGGCGGATAAGGCTGGAGCTTCGGGTGAAGCATTTCCCGCACTCATCACACCTGTGGGCCTTTGCCCCTGGTGGGACATCTTCGGGGGTCTGAAAGTTGGAACTCAGGCTGAAACTTCTTCCCAGCGCTTTGCCCTTCTCCCGGGGGCCCCTCTCTCCCACGCTGGCCTTCTTCTCCTTGGCTGTAGCCAGCCCGCTTTCTCTCTTCTCTTTGCCCGTTTTGTCCTCAGGGTTTCTCTGCTGCCTTTCGACAACTCTGCCCTGATGTTCACGTTTCTCTCCGAACTCTTTCTGGGGTCTTCCTACTGTGTCCCCCTGTACCATGGAGTTTTCTGTGACTTCACTCTTGTATGTTGACTCCTCATTGTCAGTCCTGTTTTCACAGCCTGAGAACAATAAACAAATAGTAAAACAACAAAAATCTTTGCCTAGGAGGCTGACATCCTGCTAGGCAGGAAACTCTGAGAGACTCCTATCTCCAATGAACCACCAGAAAACTGGAAGTGGAGCTGTGGCTCAAAGTGGCAGAGCACACCCATGGTTCACACCTGTAATCCTAGCTACTCAGGAGGCTGATATCTAAGGATTGTAGGTCAAAGTCAGCCCAGGCAGGAATGGCCGTGAGACTCTTCTCTCTAATAAACCACGCAGAAAACCGGAAGTGGTACTGTGGCTCAAGTGATAGAGTGCTAGCCTTGAGCTGAAGAGCTGAGGGACAGCACCCAGGCCGAGTTTAAGCCCCATGACTACCACCACCACCAACAAAAAAGTGGCAGAGCATTAGCTTTGAGCAAAAAAGCTCAAGAACAGTACCCAGGTTCTGAGTTCAAGCCCTATGACCTACAAAAAAAAAAAATCAAAAACAGAAACAAAAAGACTGCCCTTTGTGTACGTACATTAACCGAGTGACTTTATTTTCCAAGAAGCTTCTATATGGCTGCAAAATGACTTCATAGTACTCATCAAAGAAAAAAAAAAAAACCCAAGGGAAAAAATTGGGCCAATGATGAGTGGATCTGGGATGGAGTTAGAAAATGAGAAGGCTGGTCAACAGAGTAGCAGGAAGGAGAAATAACAGCAGAAGGTATGTGGGAAGGATGTGAATTATCAGGCATGGTAGGGAAAAAGCAGACAATCAGTTAAGAAGGGACTGCCAGGTGCTAGGGGCTCATACCTATCATAGCTACTCAGAAGGCTGAGATTTGAGGATCATGGTTTAAAGCCAACCCAGGCAGGAAAGCCCATGACACTTTTTTTTTTTTTTTGGTCAGTTGTGGGGCTTGAACTCTAGGCCTAGATGCTGTCCCTCAGCTTTTTAGCTCAAGGCAAGCACTCTACCATTTGAGCCACAGTGCCACTTCCAGCCTTTCTGTTTATGCGGTGCTGAGGAATCGAACCCAGGGCCTTATGCATGCAAGGCAAGTGGTAACTGAGCTACCTTCCCAGCCCAACACTCTTATCTTTAATGGTCAAAAAAGCTGAAATTGGAGCTGTGGCAAAAAATCTCAGGGACAGCGCCCAGGCCTAGGACTGGCACCAAAAAAAAAACAAAACAGAATGAAGGACATGTAGTATCACAAACCTATTATATGGTCAATAGATAACTAATATATATTCAAAGAGTCTTATTTCATATACACTAAATGGTTGTTAAGTTTAAAAAAAGTAAACAGGTCGGTACCAGTGGCTCACGCCTGTAATCCTAGCTACTCAGGAGGCTGAGATCTGAGAGTCACAGTTCAAAGCCAGCCCGGGCAGGAAAGTCCATGAGACTCTTATCTCAAATAAACCACCAGAAAATCATAAGTGGTGCCGTGGCTCAAGTGGTAGAGTGCTAGCCTTGAGCTGAAGAGCTGAGAATTGTCCCTCAGCTCTTCAGGCCCAGGCCCAGAGTTCAAGCCCCACGACCGACAAAAAACAAAAACAAAGTAAACAGGGCTGTCCTGGAAGTGTGGCTTAAGTGGCACAATACAAGCCTGGTTCAAAGCCCAACAATGCTTCCTCCCCTGACTCAAAAAAAAAAAAAAAAGGCAGGTCGGAACAGACGCAGAGACCTAGACTTGAGTGACAGACACAGGGTCAAAGAGCTGGTAATATAACTAAAGGCATTCACTAAGGATATATCTAAAGCCTTCACTATGAGCGTGGAGAATAGCAGAGAAAAGGATGCGAAAACACTTTCAGAAGTGATCCATAGAGAGAAATGAAAACATGATTTTTTTCCCCCAGTCCTGGGGCTTGAACTCAGGGATTGGTGCTTAAGGATAGAGCTCTACCACTTGAGCCACAGCACCACTTCCAGCCTTTTCTGTTATGTGGTACTGAGGAATCGAACCCAGTGCATGCTAGGCAAGCACTCTACCACTAAGCCACATTCCCAGCCCGAAAACGTGATTTTCCAAACATACCACTGAGCCCTCATTTTAGGTGTTGACGGTGTACTGGTATGTATGATTTTCGGTGCTGACGGTGTACTGCTATGTATGATTTTAGGTGCTGACGGTGTACTGCTGTGTATGATTTTAGGTGTTGATGGTGTACTGCTATGTATGATTTTCGGTGCTGATGGTATACTGCTATGTATGATGCGCACCACCTGTGCTCTTATGGGAAGACCAAAACACTTTCATTTCTGTTCTACTTGTCTAGAAAAAACAAAAACAAAGCTACCTGGCCTTAAGAGAGCTCTACAAGAGGTTGCATGTGATCCTGCCAGGCCCCTGAGTATCAGGATTGGAGTTGCCGAGGAATGTTGAACCCCAACTTTCATGATGACACCACCAAAGGCTCAACAGTTGCAAGGAGGGGGGACCTGGTCTACTTCTCAATTCTAATTCACAGTCCTTCTCTATCTGGCCAGTTTTAAGAGTCTTCTTTCTCTCTTTTTATTCCCTTTTAAGTTATGAGAGTTAGTAATAGCTTATAAACACAGATGCATTCTTTGCCTTAATTTCCACCTAAATACTTAAAGAGCTAAATACTTAAAGAGATTACAGACACATTCATATCTAGGATTCCAAACAAAATCTGAGTTCCTTTAGTAATATCATTTCTTCGCATCACCCTGTTATCCTCCCTCCCCCATCCTCTTGAATAGAAGTCCTGCTGTCACTGAACATGTGTAAGGATGTGGTGGTGATACTGTCTCCTAGGGGCTAAGACCTAGAAAGGTTCAGGTGGTGATATCAGCTGGGTAGGCCACTGAGGCCTCTTGAGCTTCTTCATTCTCACCTCTCAGGACCCAGAGCACTTCAGGAAAGAGCACTATTAAGTGTGGAAACTGGGAACTGACCCGATGTGAGGCTCAAGTACAAATCTATAGAATCTCAGAGAGCTGTAGCTGCGCTCATCCAGGATGGAAGAAGAGAAGATGCCTCTGTGGAAAGATGCCTAACAGGTTCAGGAACAGCAGGATGGCATGTGATAGATAATCAGGTCACCTGGCCATCTTCAACAGGAAAGCAGCTCTCCTGACATGGGTACAGAGGTATCCAGGGGCAGGGGAGCAGGGGCAAGACTCAAAGCATAAAGCTTATTTCTGACTTCAAAAAGAATCTGGGAGGCCTGGTACCATGATTCTGGAGTTCCTCTCTCTGTTCCAAACAAGAGGGAGTCAGTAGTCTTTAAACCCTCACCAACACTACTGTGTCCATCGCACAACTAGCAGAGGCAAAGCACTCTCATCAGATAAGAACCCTGTGTTGTCTTACCCTGGGAAAACACCTTCCCACAGTTCTCCTGCCTGCTGTCCCTACTGAGAGTTCTCCGAGCCAGCTTCTGACAGCCCCATTCCTCCAGGATGAGGGACACAGCCATGTCCTCGATCTTCACCATTGCCTGAAAACACAGGAGATCCCCACACTCAGTTCTCCCCAAGCTTAGGGATGCCCCATTGCCCCAACTTGAAATCAAGAACAAAGCTGATGCTGGACACTGGGCAAGAAATTGTGACCAGAGCCTGGTGGCTGAGGGGGTTTGTGGTGGAAGGACACCATCCAAGGAGGTGGGTTGGGCTGGTGGAGGCCACAGGGGGCACTCCAGGATTGGGGACTTAGGAGGCAGAGGGGCCCATGGCTCACCTGGGAATCTGCTGTCAATAGTGCAGATGCCACCGCCTGGTCTCTGGGACTCCCTTGGGGGTGAGGGGCAGGAACGTGGGTGGCAGGGAGAGCTGAGGGAGGAGAAAGGAGCTGTTAAGTCAATCAGCTCTGCCCTGAGCCTCCCTTACAGGAGGGCCCGGCCACTCCCATTCCATCATATGCCCGGCGCTACTGGATGTTTATCCAGAGACAGCACTGGAGAGCAAGGAGAAGCAGGACTTAGTCTTCCCCAAGACTTCTACTCTTAAATGGGATTAATAGAATCCACAAAACAAAACAATCCTGAAAACCTCTTCGTCTGCCAGGCATTCGTAGCTCACAGCTATTAATTCTAGCTATGCAGGAGGCTGAGGTGTGAGAATTAAAATTTGAAGCCAGCCTGGATAGAGAAATCTGTGAAAATTTTATTTACAATTAACTAGAAAAAAAGCCAGAAGTGGAGCTGTGGCTCAAATGGTAGAGCACCAGCCTTGAGCAAAAAATTTAAGGGAGAGCACCAAGGCTCTGAGTTCAAGTCCCAATACTGATACAAAACAAACTACCTGGTCTAACTTCTTGCTTTCTGAGTTATAGTAAGTAGATTTTAGTTTAACATGGAAAAGAGAAACACTTTCTGCTCCCCACACAAGACACACAAGCCAAAGACTCTAGCTCTTTAAAGAGGAGAAAAGCAAGGTCCCCAAATGGCAAATGATTTGTCTCCTGTCATCCAGTCTGTAATGGCAAGAGTCAGGTCTGGAAGCCAGGCTCCTATTCTCAGCTACAGAATGGGAACATTCAGCTTCAAGTCTAGACCACAGAACAGCACACATGCCCACACCATGAAAAATGGGGTATAGCTAAGAAAGGCTGAGGAGGAGGAGGTGTCTGATCTCTTGCTAATTATGTCCTTTTATTTTCTTGCATGCTTGGCCACAATAAGATTTGTAAGATATATAAATGGTTTAAATGGTGGTCTGTATAGATGTTTGAAGGTATGATGAAAGATTTCTGTAGTACATCACATGATCACAACAACAACGTGCCATGTACAGAAAAAAACATACAAAAAATTAAACTCTGTAATTAACTTAAACCTCTTTCTCTCACCTAGCTGAGTACTAGATGTGGAAATGCTACTGGTAGATAAATGATGGCAATGAGTACAAAAGTGTTAAGAGAAATGAATTTGAAACTGAATTATTAAGCCTTGTGACTACTTCCAACTGAGCAATAATAAGAATGATAAAGCCAACTGTACAGAAAGATCCAAGAACCTTCTGAGAGTTAGAAAACACAAAGATGAATAGGATAAAGAGGAATCTGAAGCTGGGTACTGTTGACTCACACCTGTAATCCTAGCTACTCAGGAGACTGAGATCTGGAAGATCTGTTCAAGGCCAGATTAAACAGAAAATACTAGCTGCTAGACTCTATGTCCAAAATAACCAGCAGAACGCAGGGCTGGAGATGAAGCTCATGTGGTAGAATCCCTCTCTCACAAGCATGAGACCCTGAGGTCAAGCCCCAGTACTCCCCTTCACCCCCAAAAGAGAGAGAAAATTGAGAATAAGTATGTATGTGTCTATTCATTCACAAACAATAACAACCACTCTCTCTGCACAAGGTCTCTACAACTGTTTCTCTGGCAACCTGATACATGAATACTTTCTCTAGTTTCATTTCTAATGTAATGCTCTGTGATGTTTCACATACACCCTGGAAGGCTTTCCAGGAAGCTCCACCATCATCACAGACATACACTCTGATAAAGGACCAGGCTATGAGCAACTCTTGCAACTCTTCTTGAACACACTCATTTTTTTTTCCTTTGTGCTAACTTGAACTCAGGGCCTAGACACTATCCCTGAGATTTTTTTTTTTTCCTTAAGGATAGCACTCTACCAACTGAACCATAACCCCACGTTCAGCTTTTTGGTGGTTAACTGAAGATTAGAATTCTCATGGACTTTTCTGCCTGGGCTGGCTCTGAATCATGATCCTTAGATCTCAGCCTCCTGAGTTGTTAGGATTATAGGCATGAGCCACTGGTGTCTGGCACTCTTTCTCATTTTCTTTTAGTCCTTGTTTGTACTGACATTCTGTGCAGTTAGTCTGACTTTGAACTTGGAAAAAAATCTAAGTAAAATATTTATTTATTCATATGACCCTGAGCTGTTATTTTCTTCAACCAAAATATTTTTAAAATTTTATTACCACTGTTGGAAAAACTTGAAAATAGCCTAGAAAAGAGTAATGTTATACAAAATTTTTTTTTTATCTTTCTTGTTATACAAAATTTTTATAGTATTTAAATAAAGTAGATTCTTAAAAAGATTCACAAACCTGGGGCTGGGAAGGTGGCTCAGTGGTAGAGCGCTTGCCTTGCATGCATGAGGCCCTGGGTTCGATTCCTCAGCACCACATAAGCAAAAAGAAAAAAAGCCGGAAGTGGTGCTGTGGCTCAAGTGGTAGAGCGCTAGCCTTGAGCTGAAGAGCTGAGGGACAGCGCCCAGGCCCAGAGTTCAGGCCCCATGACCGGACCCCCTCCAAAAAAAAAAAAAAAGATTCACAAACCTTTTAAAAATGATTTAAGACTTATTAAAGTGTTCTAATACCCAAGGATGGAAGTTGGATATGTTGTTATACCTATAATCCCAGCACTCAAGAGGCTGAGGCAAGATTACAAATTCAGGATCAACCTAAGTTAAATAGTGAGACTTTGTCTTAAAATCAACAACAACAAAAAACAATAACAAACTCACCAGGCTGGAAATAATCTATCATTTATTCCCACCCTCTTCTATCAGGAGATTAAGAGCTACCTGGCCAGCTAACAGATGATGTGGAGGCCAATGAGCTCATCTTGTTGGGCATAGAGCACTTACTGCCTTACTTATAGCATTCAGCTCTCAGAGATGCTCTGGGAGTGCAGTTTTCCTAATATTTGGTAATGATAACAATTATGGAGAACAAGGTACTCACAGGTACTCCCAACCTTGACTTTTTTCCCCATGAGTCCCTGCTTCTTACCTCGGGACTCCAAGAGGCGAGGTTTCCGAGATGAATGCTTGAAATGAGACTGGGTGGCCTCAGGGTGAAGGTCAAAACTTGAGGACTCCTGAACAGGATCCAGAGGCACCATCCCCCGGGCGAGCATCTCAGGCCCATGAACTTGACCTGGGACCTGAGGAAAATCAAAGGTTGATGGATAAATCACTGGTTTTATGTTTGTTTTTTAAATAGGGGGACAGGTGGAAGAGAGGTGAATTAAGAGTTTAAACTCAGGGCCTTTTGGCAAGCACTCTTGTTTACTGAAACAGAGTTTTGCTATATAGTCTATGCTACCTTTAAACTCACTATCCTCTGGCCTCAGCTTCCTGAGTACTGGGCTTACAGGTGTGTGCTACCTCCCCATGCCTGGTAAATCATTTTTTTTTTTTTTTTGTCAGTCGTGGGGCTTGAACTCTGGGCCTGGGCGCTGTCCCTCAGCTCTTCAGCTCAAGGCGAGCGCTCTACCACTTGAGCTACAGCGCCACTTCCGGTTTTCTGGTGGTTTATTGGAGATAGGAGTCTCACGGTCTCTCCTGCCCGGGCTGGCTTTGAACCACGATCCTCAGATCTCAGCCTCCTGAGTAGCTAGGATTACAGGCGTGAGCCACCAGCGCCCGGCTGGTAAATCATTTTTAAACTAAGAATTAAAATAGTAAAGAAAAGCAGGGAGAAGCCAGACACATTATTGTGAAGGGTCTAGGGGTTTAATGTGTGGGCTTGCAAACACCAAGCACAGGGTCTACCTCTGAGGATCCCCAAGAACACTTTGTAACAGAATGCCCAGCACAAAGTGACCTAATAATAGCTCTATATTAGTGACTTTCTCCTTGCTCCAAATCCCACACCCTTCTCACAGAGCAGCTTTGCCCCCTCCTACCTGCTGCCCAGACAGATCTAGCTCCAAATCTTCCAGGAGGGTCACAGCTTCCTCTCCGCTGTCGGGCCGGTACTCCTGCAGCCACACCTGGAGCTCCTTGGGCAGGATGGAAAGGAACTGCTCCAATACCAGCAGCTCCAGTATCTGCTCCTTGGTGTTTATTTCTGGTCGTAGCCACTGATGGCAAAGTTCCTTCAGTCGACTTAGCGCCTCTCTGGGGCCAAAAGTGTTCTGGTAACAGAAGCGTCGGAAACGCTGTCGGAACACCTCTGGGTCAGGAGGAGGTGCGTCCTGCAGGCCCTCCTGCCCCCATGCCTGCTCATCCTCATCATCCTCTTCCACCTTCACGATGACGATCCCATCTTTCTCCTGTGCAGCCTGGGGGGACAGACCTGAGGCCTCCCTCGACTCAGCGGTCATTGCTCAGGCTCAGGCAACCGGGACAAGTGATCCAAACAGGGCCCGGGCCAGCCTTTGCGTCCTCTGTTTCTGTACTATTCCTGCAGTGAGTGTGGAAAGAAATCATGAAGACCTTTGTAAGGAGTGACGCATGCTGCTAATGCTTCAACCAAGTACTAGGAAGGCCTAGAGCCCATGGCTCAAACCTGTAATCCTAGCCACTCAAAAGGCTGAGATCTGAGGATCAGTATTTGAAGCCTGCCCATGCAGAAAAGTCCATCATACTGTGTTTTTTTTGTTTTTTTGGGTCGTGGGTCTTGAACTCTGGGCGTGGGCGTTGTCCCCGGACTTTTCAGCTCAAGGCTAGTGTTCTACCACTTGAGCCACAGTGCCACATCCAGTTTTCTGGTGGTTTATTGGAGCTAAATCTCACAGCCAGGGCTGGCTTTGAAAGATGATCCTCTAGGGCTGGGAAGGTGGCTCAGCGGTAGAGCGCTTGCCTTGCATGCAAGAGGCCCTGGGTTCGATTCCTCAGCACCACATAAGCAAAAAGAAAAAAGCTGGAAGTGACACTGTGGCTCAAGTGGTAGAGCTCTAGTCTTGAGCTGAAGAGCTGAGGGACAGCGCCCAGGCCCAGAGTTCAGGCCCCATGATGGGACAAAAAAAAAAAAAAAGATGATCCTCAAATCTCGGCCTCCTGAGAAATAGGATTATAGGCATGAGCCACCGGGTCAGCTCCATTACACTCTTAACTCCAATTAACTACCAAAAAGCTGGCAGCAGAGTTGTGGTTCAAGTAGGTAGAACCACCAGCCTTGAGAAAAAATCTCAAGGACAGGGTCTAGGCCCGTGAATTCAAGCCCCAGGACCAGCACCAAAAAACCAAAACACCACCAACAAAAAAACACAAAACACAAAAAACAACAACAAAAAAAAAACACAAAAACCAACAAACAAAGCAAAACAAGCAAAAAACAAAAATAAAAACGAAAACGAAACTTGCAACTAATTTCTATAGCTGTTAAAAAAAAAAAAATCCAAGGGCTGGGAAAGTGGCTCAGTGGTAGAGTGCTTGCCTTGCATGCATGAAGCCCTGGGTTCAATTCCTCAGTAGTACCACATAAGCAGAAAAAACCCAAAGTGGCGCCGTGGCTCAAGTGGTAAGCTGAAGAGCTGAGGGACAGTGCCCAGGCTCAGAGCTCAGGCTCCACGTCTGACCAAAAAAAAAAAAAAATCCCAGTGATGAAGTTTAATGGAACTTAAGCCTGTTTGCCAAAAACATAATTAGCTTGTAAGAATTGGTGGTTTAAGATCATGAAAAATGAAAATGTACTTTCTGAATTTCAGCAATAAAAATTTAGCATGGTCAGGCACTGGTAGCTCATGCCTATAATCCTAGCTACTCAAGATATAAACATATACGTAAATAATCATACTCATCTATGTTTTTCCTTGTTTCTGAATCAATTCATAGTTTTCTCCAGCTACAGATTATAAATACATGCATTTACTTTTTTTTGTAGGTCGTGGGGCTTGAACTCTGGGCCTGGGCGCTGTCCCTCAGCTCTTCAGCTCAAGGAGAGCGCTCTACCACTTGAGCCACAGCACCACTTCCGGTTTTCTGGTGGTTTATTGGAGATAAGAGTCTCACGGTCTCTTGCCCGGGCTGGCTTTGAACCGAGATCCTCAGATCTCAGCCTCCTGAGTAGCTGGGATTACAGGCGTGAGCCACCAGCGCCCGGCAATACATGCATTTACTTATAGTGCTTAATGTGGGATTTTTGTAATCATCTTGGTACACAAATTGAGAAGTGGATCTAAATCTATCTTTGCCCAGTATCACATATTAAAAATGCCATGCTACCGGGCGCTGGTGGCTCACACCTGTAATCCTAGCTACTCAGGAGGCTGAGATCTGAGGATCATGGTCCAAAGCCAGCCCAGGCAGGAAAGTCCCTGACACTATCTCCAATAAACCACTAGAAAAACGGAAGTGGCACTATGGCTCAAGCGGTAGAGCGCTCATGCCTTGAGCTGAAGAGCGCAGGGACAGCGCCCAAGCCGAGTTCAAGCCCCACGACCAACCAAATGAAAAAAAAAAAAAAAGGAGCCTGAGATCTGAGGATCATGGTTGAAAGTCAGCCCAAGCAGGAAAGTCAGAGAGATTTTTTATTTTTTTTTTTGGTCGGTCGTGGGGCTTGAACTCTGGGCCTGGGCGCTGTCCTTCAGCTCTTCAGCTCAAGGCAAGCACTCTACCACTTGAGCTACAGCGCCACTTCCGGTTTTCTGGTGGTTTATTGGAGATAGGAGTCTCACAGTCTTTGCTGCCTGGGCTGGCTTTGAACCGCGATCCTCAGATCTCAGCCTCCTGAGTAGCTAGGATTACAGGCGTGAGCCACCAGCGCCCGGCTCAGAGAGATTCTTATTTCCAATCAACTACCAGAAAACTGGAAGTGGCTCAAAGTAACAGAGCACTTGCCTTGAGCCAAAAAGCTCAGAGACAGTGCCCAGGCCCTGAGTTTGAGTGCTACAATTGAACAACAACAATTACCATGGACAGATCATGAGTTACTCAGCCAAGCTGACAATGTGATCCAAGCATCAGAAGCCATAGATTTCTGGAAGTATCTTTTTCATCTCTTCAGCCTCAAAACTCAGCATCAATTTGAAGTTTTAGAAACAGATCCTTCAACTGCTATACCAAAGTTACTTTAAACAAGAGCTGTATTCATGCTTTTGCTGTGCTGGGAGCCTGCAGAGGCCTGAGTGTGCTCGCCACTCTACCACTGGTCAACACTTACAGTTCAGAGTTTTAAAGGAGCAAAACGCTTATACACGTGGCTCTCACTAATTGAACAGTTCAAATGGAAATCATGTACATTTAATAAAACATTATCTTTAAAGTAGCACAATTTCAAGTTCTTTTATTATGCAAAATATTGGTTAGAACAGAATAATTTGTACAGTTGCTCTAACAGGTAGGGATGTTTGGCCTTCCCTTGTCCAGATTTGCATTCTGTGGCTTCAGTTCAGGCCTGATTTCTGCCTGTCTGAACACACACAACATACCGAGGCTGCTTAGCATTGCTAAAGTATGCTTCCAGTTGTTTCCTGCTCCTTAATTAGTGCCAGTGAGTCCCTGTTATTTACTAATTCCGAAGTCCAAGGGTTTCCACCTTCACAATACACTCTACTCTTCTTATTTACCGTCATCATTTTTTTTTGGTGGTGGGTGACCCTCCAGATTTCCACTATAATCTAGTCCTTAACTCCTTTTCTGTGAACAGTCTTCAACCATATCAACTGTAGCCAGCAAATTTGTATTCGCTTTTCCAGATGCATAAATCTCTCTTGATTAAAGATACCTGCTCCCCCCCCCCCCCCACGCCCCTTACTGTGATAATAAGCATGATAGGCAATGAGTAGATACTGGAGGTATTTTACTACGGTAGGTGCTGGTGGCTCACACCTGTAGTCATAATTAATTACTCAAGAGGCTGAAATCTGAGGGTCAGTTCCAAGCTAGCCAGGACAGAAAAGTTAAGGAGACTCTTTATCTCCCACTAACCAGGAAAAAGCTGGAGAGATGTGGCTCAAGTGGCGGAGCATCAGCCTTGAGTGAAAAAGCCAAGTGAGGGCTGGGAAGGTGGCTCAGTGGTAGAGCGCTTGCCTTGCATGCCTGAGGCCCTGGGTTCGATTCCTCAGCACCACATAAACAGAAAAAGCCAGAAGTGGCGCTGTGGCTCCAGTGGTAGAGCGCTAGCCTTGAGCTGAAGAGCTGAGGGACAGCACCCAGACCCAGAGTTCAGGCCCTATGACCGGCAAAAAAAAGAAAAAAAAGAAAAAGCCAAGTGACAGCACAAGGTCCTGAGTTCAAACCCCAGTACCAGTACAAAAACAAATAGACATCCTACTAGTACCTTAACTATTTTCTACCCAACACTTCACCTTTGGACTCCTCTTTTCTTTTTTTCTTTTTCTTTTTTTTTTTTTTGGGTCCGGTCGTGGGGCTTGAACTCTGGGCCTGGGCGCTGTCCCTCAGCTCTTCAGCTCAAGGCTAGCGTTCTACCACTTGAGCCACAGCGCCACTCCCAGCTTTTTTCTTTTTGCTTATGTGGTGCTGAGGAATTGAACCCAGGGCCTCATGCATGCAAGGCAAGCGCTGTACCACTGAGCCACCTTCCCAGCCCCATGGACTCCTCTTTTCTTAAACACAGTCTTAAGCACCAGGGAGAATTCTTTGCTCACACTTACTGTCTGAACCACAGCTCCATTTTTTTTTTTTTTGGTGGTTAATTGCAGGTAAGAGTATATTACAGACCTTCCTTCCCTTGGCTGACTTTAACTGTGATCCTCAGATCTCAGCCTCCTGAGTAGCTAGGATGACAGGTGGGAACCACTGGTGTCCAGCTCAGTTTCTCAAGTCCAACTTCCTCTTGGGTTTATCACATTTTCTTTTGTCAGTCATGGGGCTTGAACTCAGGGCCTGGGCACTGCTCCTGAGCTTTTTTGCTCAAGGTTGGTACTCTACCACTTTGAGCCATAGCACTACTTCCAGTGATAAGAGTCTCACACACTTTCCTGCTTGTGTTGGCTTCAAACTGCAATCCTCAGATTTCATCTCCTGAGAAGCTAAGATTACAGGTGTGAGCCACCAGTGCCCAGTGGCTCACCACTTTATTATTTCCCTACTCTCCCACACTTCATCTGAAACTTTAGACTATTCTTAAAACTGTATAGCCCTTACGGCCAATCCACTACAGCATGTTTCTCATTTCCTCTTAGGTTGCATTTTGTCCTCTACCTCATTCCATGAACCCTCCTGCTGCCGCCCAGCCTCAGATACAGGGGTCTCATATCCTGAGATTTTCTCCCCAGTCCTTTCTGCCTTTTTAAGTCCTATTCATTCTTCTAAGCCAAGATGCCATTTGCCCACCAATGCTTGCTGCTCAAAAACTTGCAGGTTGGAGCTGGGAAGGCGGCTCAGTGGTAGAGCACTTGCCTTGCATGTGTGAGGCCCTGGGTTTGATTCCTCAGCACCACATAAGCAAAAAGAAAAAAGCTAGAAGTGGTGCTGTGGCTCAAGTGGTAGAGTGCTAGC